TTATACATCTAAACCAGAAGAGGACCGTGGTAGGTAGGGTGCTCTGTGTTCACTATCTGTTGGTTGGTTTTTGTCAGCTCCACACAAATGTAGACAAACCTGTGAAGAGGGAAGTTTAATTGAGGAAATGCCTCAACACCATCAGTCTGTGGCAAGTCTGTGGGGTATTGTCTTGATTAATGATTGGCAGGAGCAGACAGCCCATGGGAGTTCAGGATGGTATACCTCCCACACACAGGTGGTCCTGAGTTGTATAAGAGAGCTAATGGAGGAACCGACCCATGCAAAAAAGCCAGTAAACTCCCTTCATCCATAGCTCTGCTTCAATTCCTGCTTCTGGGTTCCTGATTTGAATTTCTGCCCTAAGTTCCTTCAGTGATGGAGTGTTACGTGAATTGTAAGCTGAAATTAACCTTTCCCTCCCCAGGTTGCTTTTGATCATGATCTTTATCACAACAATTGAAACCCTGACAAAAAAAAAAAAAAAAACCCACCCTGGACACACTGGACTGGCATTAGATGCCTCTGTCAGCAAGCCCAACTGCCCATCTAGTCTGACGTAATTCTTTTCTAGTTACTTGAGATATGATAACAAAAAGCACATATACATTCATTTCCTTTGCACTGCATGATGAGATATGAAATAGTTAAGGTTAATTAATTAAGTTTAGCCACTCAGTACCAAGAAAGAAGGAATAACAAATTGCTGTGCTGGAGCTGGCAGAAAAAGTTTTTGGTGCCTTGTTTTCCTTATATTGAACAATCAGTTGACTGTGTGACTGTGATTCTAACAGCTGGATGGAGAATATTTACTATCATATTGACAGAAAAATATTTGAATTAGATTTTATCACTAGGAACATTTGGTCAATGTTATTAGTAATTATATGAAGATTTTCAGATCTGTCTTTATGAAATCATGACTAATGAGAAAACTAATCTATTCCAATGTTAATTATTTTCTAAGTATGTTTTATGCAATTTATTCCAGAAGATTTTGATAGTAAGTGATGTAAATATTTCCCTGTTGGTCAAACTGGTATCTGTGTTCTGCCTTCATTCTGCCAAAATTATGAATCTGCAAGTGACAGTGGGCCATGGCCTGGTCACAGGGGAAGGGTCTCGGAACTCACAGGTCTTGGGAATAACCCTCTCTCTTATCCTTCTACAAGACACGTGATGAGTGTCTGTCTCTATTGAGCCAAGGTGGCTCTAATGGGGTGTCTTTGTGTCCCACAGACAGTGCATTCTGACACCTCGAAAGTCCAAGTCCTATTCAGACAATAGGATCCTTCTCAAACTGAGAAAGAACATGGAATGCTTTTCAAAGGAGGGCTCTTACTTAGATTTGAGGCTACTTTTCTAATTAGTCTATAAAGCCTATGAATGTGCAGAAACCTTCTCAAGAGAGAAGGTCAGCATCTAAGCTCAGAAGTCTACTGTAACTTACTTTTCTCCTCATCCTAGCAGGGTCAGGAAGAGACAGACACACTGTCTTCCTGTGTCTAGATCTCACAGCATTTCCACTTTTCTCCTGCTGATTTCCATGTCCTCTCACATTACCTTATCTGGAAATGAAGGTGTTCACCTGATGTCTTGGTTCTTTGTGGAGGAAGCAGTTGAGAAATAGAGGAATTTCACAGAGGTTGGGTGTTCATTTCTCAGGCTATGTACTAAAATATTACTAGTAGATAAAAACCACAGTGTCAGTGTTCACCTTTACATGCAATTCATCATTGGGTTTAGAGAGTCAAGGACAGTATTGATCGAGCAGTGGATAACAAATTCATGTACATTTTTTTCATCATCTCTCAAACAACTGCAGAGTTATGTGATGACCAGGATCTTCTTAATTCCTTAATTACATGATAAAAGTCGGGTAGGTTGATTTAGTTTTCCTGATGTTGAAATGAATTTGAATAGTCTTTACCATATTGGGAGATACAGTGCCTTTAGGTTAATTTGATTTAATTTTTAATTGAATTAAACTCCACATCATATAAAATGATAAAAGTGACAGTCAATTTACGCCATGATTCCCTCTATTGCCATCTGGGAATGTTTGTTAAAAAAAACGAATTAAGATCCATTCTCCCGATGCATTTGTGTTTTTAGAAGTGGTAGGAATGTTTAAATGTCAAAGGCAATGTAGAAGAAACCCATGGAGTGTGAACTATTGAATATTTTTGGTGTAAAGATATTTGGAACTTTGTGGAGTGCAGTCAGTTTAAATTACTTCACTAATTTATTTAGTGCCTTTGACCTTTTTCTTGTTGGAATCTATCACTCCCTAATGGTATACATCACTTATATATGTTCGTTATATATTGTCTATTTCTTGACACTAGTACTTTCTAGGTGGTATCCCGACCTGAACAATTATCAAAAATCTATTTATCAATATGTTTCTAGATGCCCTTACAAAGGAGATATATATATTCCCCCCTCTTGTAAAGAGACATTTTTATCACACTCTCATCTCCCTAGGCTCAGGGAAAATGGCAAAAGAGGGAGAGGAACATTGGTAAGACCCAGGGGTAGAGGATGACCGCAAGGAAACAGTGTTTTCTAGACTCAACAGGGCAATTGTAGAAATAAAGCCACAGTGGTTATGACAGTATGCAGAAGACCTACTCAACCTCAAGTGAGATGAAATCCCAGGATGGAGGTCATGGTGTCCCACCCCTCACTGAGGAGCCTGTCAGGAGAAGGAAAGTTAGCTTTCTTTAAAAGCTTGGCCTCTGGTTGGTCGCATCTTGTGATGAATGTATACACCTAGGAGTTTATGGGCAGCAATAATGGGATGGAGTGGATTTATGAAAAGAAAAATGAGACCTCAAAGTTGGGTGGGCTGAGCATGGGGAGGTGGACCTAGGAAGAGATGGTGGAGTGGTTAATATGATCAACATAAAATGTATGAAAATTTCAAAGAATCAAATAGAAGGCTATTGGAGAATTTTTAATTTTGAGATTGTTATGTGTGCAACTGAAACCCCAACACTTAGAAGGTAGAGTCAAGATGAGTTCAAGGTCAAGTTGCGCTCAGTGACAGAAAATTATCTCCAAAGTATGTTTTTAATCATGAAGTAGAAGTACAACCTCTCACATGATGACTGTGTGAAGTTAGAAGTCCATTCTTGTCACCGTTGATAGCTTTGGAGGAAATAAAACTCCAGTGTATCGCAGATGAACATTCACTTTGTTTTCCTGTAATGAGCAATAAAACATGAAGAGCAATAAGTGTATAAAAATTTAAATATCTTATGGGAAATAATTTGTGCATAAGAATTTAGCATCATCTCCATGTGTCAGGATGCAGCTCTCTTCCGTTTTAGATTCAGCTCATTCCACAAATAAGTATTATGAGTTCACAAGTAAATTATTTACAGGAGCTTCATTGGCTGAGTTTTTCCCATGGAATAATTTCCTGAATGACAATCATTCTTTCAATGACAGAATCATGTCCATTTCTTGTCCTAAATGTGCTACATGTCCTTAAGCAGAACGCTGACTTTCAGGAAACCCCCTTCTGTCCCCAAACAGGGGCTCAGTCACCACACATCCATCTGCCTCTGTGATGACCTGATTGCATCACTTCTCACTTCAGCACAAGCAACTTTGCTTTCATGTTAACATCAGCAAACACCTGGACCTGATTAATACCTGATTAATCTCATTTTTCTATTTTCTTCAAAAGTCCAAATTCAATATGAATGAACATGTGAATTTAATGTGAAAGAACATGTAACATAATTTGTTGTGTATAGATGGAGGGCCATATGTATTTTGGTGGTAAATGAGAGATGGAGTGAGCTTTTGTTTTTGTTTTTGTTTTTGTTTTTTTTTTTTTTTTTTTTTTTTTTTTTGGTTTTTCAAGACAGGGTTTCCCTGTGTAGCTTTGTGCCTTTCCTGGATCTCGCTCTGTAGCCCAGGCTGGCCTCGAACTCACAAAGATCCGCCTGCCTCTGCCTCCCGAGTGCTGGGCCCGGCGGAGTGAGCTTTTGAAATAACTGTCAGAAACAGAGAGTGGGCTGGGTCGGTAATAGAAATTTCATCTCTTCTCACCAATATTAACTCGTTTATTTTGTCCCAAAACCAAAGAAGCACATTTTATGTTTTTGAGTATTTGAAATAGGAGGTTGGAAAAATGGCTCAGTGGTTAACAGCACGTGCTGCTCTTAAAGCATGAGTTAGATTTCCCAGCACCCATCTCAAGCATCTCACAACTGCTTGTAACTGTGGGTCCAGGGGGTCTGATGCCTCTATCCTCTGCAGGGAACTGCGCACATGTGCACATATCTACAGACACATGTGAATATACATATAACTAAAAATGTTAAATGCAATAATGAAAAGATATGAAATTAACATAAAATAATCAACAAATCGATTATTTGACTCAAAATATGTTTCTCTCTTCCTCAAAAGATAAGAGTCTGACTTACATCACCCTTGCATTTTAAACAAACTATACTATGTCTGTGTATATGGATATGGACATTTTTCCTGCATGTCGCTTTATTACTCAGGTGTGGCTAATATATTACTCAGGTATACCTACTGTCCAATTCCAATAAAGAAATCTAGTTCAACAAATCTAACCATTGTCCATCATTTCGATGCTTCCTTTAAATTTGAAGGATTTCAAATTTCAAATGGAACCAGTATCTGGACCTAAAAGCAACTGAAAACAAAACTAAGTGAATATGACATTTAGCATATGCAACACCATTCACTATCTCTCTGTCTCTGTCTCTGTCTCTCTCTGTCTCTGTCTCTCTCTCTGTCTCTCTGTCTCTCTCTCTCTCTTGCTCACACACACACACACACACGCACACACACACACTGAGTTTCTGTTTCTGGTAACTTGTAGGGCCACAAAAATATATCAGGCCCAGAAATCATAAAGAAATATTTAAGAGTCTGCAATCAGTTTCCTATTCTTTCATAATCTTCCAGTTTGCAAATGTCTTTGACTTAATGGTTTCTTTTTTTTACAGGGACTTGCGTTGTCATGCTCTGAATGCACCCTCAAGCTCTATGAACAAGGTAGGGTCAGCTGTATTTTACATTTAGGTAAAAATTTCAAACTTCATTGGTTTTTAAAGTGAAGCTGTATCTGTGTTTTGTATGTTGTCAAATATTGCTGGTTGTTATCCAAGTATAACACTGAAAACACAGTTAAGAACCATGTCTGTTTCTATTGTTCTTCTTGATATAAACTGTGTGAAGCAAAGTTAAAGTGTTTACAACAATGACTTTCTAGTGAAATATCATATATCCACTGTAATGTAGGGGTTGATTGATCATCAACCTATATGTCATCTATCATCTGAATATCATTTATCTGTCATCAATAATCATCTATGTATTTAATCCTCTGTCTATCCATTCACCTATTATTTAAGTATTATGTTTCTACCCTTCTATGTATCATTTATTTATCATATATATATATATATATAATTTCTCTATCACATCTATATTATCTATCAATCATCTATCTATTAATCCACCACATCATTGTCTGTATGTATAATCTATCTCTCCAACAATATTATTTATCTTAAAACATCTATTATCTATACATCTACCATATGTCTATCATTTCTCTACCATGTATGTGTTTACTAGTATTTGTCTATCTACATGTATCTAAAGAGAGAAGAAATAAGCCACATTATGAATTTCACAATGGTATAAAAAAAAGTCCAAATTTATGGTGGTGTGTGTTGACTTTAAAAATATGTCTCTTAGATCTTTAAAGGTTTTAATTCTCAGTATTTAACTTTTAACTAAGTTGGGAAAATATTGGCATTTATGAAAATGAATTTGGTTATTCCCTGACTATAAGTTAATAATATATATATATAGTTTTTCAAGACAGGGTTTCTCTGTGTAGTTTTGGTGCCTGTCCTGGATCTCGCTCTGTAGACCAGGCTGGCCTCAAATTCACAGAGATCGCCTGCCTCTGCCTCCTGAGTGCTGGGATTAAAGGCGTGCACCACCACCACCCTGGTGATATATTCTTTAAATATTTTTATATATCATAGATAGAAAAGCTTTAAGACAAAACATTTTGCTACATGCCCTCGCTTATCTGTGCCTTCTTCCATGTGTGGAGAATCTCATTCAGCCACAGTTCTCTCAGTTTTCTTCTTGAGTAACTGTAAAAAGGAAAGGAGGGAAAGAGCAGGTACGAAATGCCACCATTCATGCCCCGGTGTTCGGGAGCATTGAAAGAGAGGAAGGTTTTGGATAGCTCTTCCTGAAGTAATGGGTTTCATTATGAAGGAAAATCAGATCCACACAATTGAGCTTCCCTGTTGCAAGGGAAGCTGGTTGTTTCTGACTCTCAATAAATCAAGGCTTAGTATTTCAGCCATGCTTTTGTAAGTTAGTTCTCATCGGAACTTTCAAAGAAGTAGACATCTGTGCAGAAGAATCTGGAATCTTTTCAAGTTTTGGGTTCTCGTCTGTTTCTCTGTGTTTGCCTGTGGATTTGGAGGAGGGGGTATGAAATTATACATGAATGCTTTATGATTATATACCTAAATGAGTATAGAAAAGCTAACTTCAAAGTTAAGTAAAAAATAACTCCTTTGTATCATGCTAGTTGTTTTGTTTCTTTAAAAATAATGTTCTGTGCTGTTATATATTTTGGGGTTTATTCATCACCAATGTTACATATGTTTCTACAAAGTAAATAGGTATAATTTTTTTTTAAATCCCTTGACTAAGTTAGTTTAATTTCTTGTGATAGTTCCTTCAAAATAATATAGACTAAATATTCTTTTTATCCTTGAGTTAATGAATGACAAGAGAGAACAAAAATGTCTTTCAATTAACACACACACACACACACACACACACACACACACACGAAAAAAAAACAAAACAAAAGAAAACAAAACAAAACAGAAGCTAACCAATAATTCCTGACCATGGCAAGTAATGCCTAGAGGCAAAGCTCTCTTCTTTATGTATTCATTCTAGATCATCATTTATAAAACTGTGCCTGTTGTGAAATTACTCAGATGTTGAACTTGTTCCCAGCCTTTTAGGTCATTGCCAGTGTCTCAAAATAAGATCACTTGATAGTCAGCCCAAGGCTCATGGTCCATCTTTTGTAATCTTCCAGCTGTGTACTCAAATGCCTGCCTCTTCCAACTGTCTGAATGGTGGCAGTGGGGTATTGGCAATCCACAGATGTGTCATGAAAACCCACAAAGGGAATAAACTTATGGTTTCTTAATGCTTAGCCGTGATTTCTGACTTTCAGGAGAAGACTGAGGAGCTGTGAACACACACAAGCAGAGTGCTTAGTACCTGCCTTTCCTCTACCTTATCAAGACAGGATAGGATGCACTCTGCCTATTTTTATTGTTCATTCTAATAATCTGCCCTCCTGTATCTATTTTTATGTATGCCCCATATTTAAAAGATAAAGGCATGCAATTCTGTTTTCTTATCTGCATATTTATTCGTGATGCTGCTGTCAGCATGATGAATATGTATAGATAGGTCATTGCAAGATAGTTTGAGAATGATTGAGACAAGAAAATGCCTAGTATTCTCAGTAGGCAGAAAATGCAAAAGAAATCTGTTGGTTGCATTTGGTATTCTGTTCTTTTAATCAGTGCTAGTAAGAGAGACTTTCAGAACTTTTTAGAATACTTAAAATTTCTTACTTCTTACCAGCAAGCCCAAAGGACATTAGCCATACACAAAAGCTGCCTGAACTGGCTGTTTTCATATCTATGAATTTTGTAAATAACGTCTCACTATATAATCTGACCTCATTTAGGTGTGATTTTTATTTTCTTTCTGGAACTTGGTTTCTAGTTGTCCATTCCTTATCTTGGTTTTAACACATAAAATAAGTTCACTAGATTGTTGCTTTTATTAAATACTGCAACATGAATAGTCCAAGGGCAGTTATGCAAATTTCAGAATGTTCTCATTTTTCAAAACTTCAGGCCAATCTAAAATACCATTTAATTCAGTATTTTATTTTATGCTTTGTTATATCTTTACTTTTAAGTCTGGCTTGCCAATATTACCTTCACATTGGCTTAGGATGCTCATAAAATCGACTTCTGTGTTCAGCTCTATCTATATCAACCATCATGTTAGACTTGGAAGGAGCCTGAAATGTGAAGTCTTCTCTTTAAGACAGCATGGTCAAGCAAATCTTTCCCACCCTTGTCAAAGATGCCCTATAAACACTCAACTATTATAAATTTCTTATCAATGGATACATTGTGAATGCCCTTGATTTTCCCTTAACAATGTGCTGTGTTAGCACACCCTTTCTTGCCAAGTGTCAACTTTCTGGTAAGAGGAACCATATCTCCCTGAAAGAAACACAAAACCACAACTAATCCAAGTGTTGTGAATGCTGCATGCTCAACAGAGGTAGCTGCCTAAGTCATTTATGGATAATTTAGTAAAAGAATACTGTATGAGTAGTAAGCTAGGGCATTTGGTGCTGTGAAAGTTTTTTTTCCCAGGGTCAGAATATGGGGCTGTCGGGAGAGGGTATTCTGTGACAGGCAACACCTGAAACATTGATGTATGCTTTGCAAGTGATTAACTTCTCATGAACTCTCATATCAGAAGTTGCCTATAAGACTCTTGAGATCACTACATCTTTCCATCATATTTTGCTATTATAAATATGGATTATAATATTTTATACTTTTAAGGAGCTATTTACCTGTCATTTTATATAATAAAAGGAATACAGCCTACCAAATTTTTATGACATTTGTTAATCCAGCTTAATCCTTAATCATAATCTTTATTATTTAACTTTATTTTTATTAATATTTGTGTGCTTTCAAACATAAATGCATGCACACACACACAGAATCAACTCACACTGCTCAAATTCAAGCCGCTCAATGTCTTAAGTCATAGCTATGAATACTGGGATCAAATTCAAGGTACAGCTGCTTCCATCCAACGATGAGTCAATGATCAACTACATTATACTGAAAAGACTTCACTGAAATATGTAATAATTAGTAGATTCTATTATAGCCAGGGACTGTTCCATTTCTTCTCTTGAGTGCATATAATAACACAGTTTCTAATTTCTTATGACGTTTCTGTACTTTTCTGTCTTCTTATGGACTACTTAGAAAAAAAATGTGCTCTATTTTCCATGTCTATGTCAAGTTGGTGGTTTTTTTCTAGGATGACTACATGTAATATATTTGTTAGAATGGGATTTTTAAATAAATAAATTTATTTACTTTACATCTTGGTTGCAGTGCCCCTCCCTCTTCTCCTCCCAGTCCCCCCTCCCCTCTCCTTCCCTCCTCCCTCCCCACATCCACTCCTCCATTCCTATTCAGAAAAGTGCAAGCCTTCCACAAATATCAACAAAACATGGCATATTAAGTTGCAGTAACAAATAAGAACCTCCCTTGTATTAAGACTGGGCAAGGCAACCCATTATGAGGAGTAGGGTCCCAAAAGCCAGTAAAAGAGTTGGCGACATCTCCTGCTCCCACTGTTAGGAGTCTTACAAGAGGACCAGGCTACACAACTGTCACATATATGCAGAGTGCCTAGGTCAGTCCCATGCAGGCTCCACTGTCCCCCTTTACCCCGGCAGATGACTGTCTAATCTACTCCAGGGTTTAATGGTGACCGTTTGGGGCTGATCTAATTCTTGTGCCTTTCAGTGGTTTTTTCCCCCGCTTCCTACCTTCTGTGTTTCTTGGCCATTAAAATTTAAAATTCCAGGAAGAGATGGCTTTCATAAGGCTTCTCATTAAGTTTCTCTGGAAATCCAGTTTTTAAAATGTGATCTTCTTTAAATGAGGGACATATTCTTTTATAATTATCTTTTTGTTTCCACTCTCAACTTGTCTTCTTTTCCTTTAGATTTCCGTCATCTATAGGTGGAATGTTCTAGATCCATTTGTGTCCATTGCAATATGTTTTCTTTGTTTACTGGTTTGTCCTCTTCCCCTTTCTTTTTATTTTGGGGAAGCTTGTGTGCAGTTTTTTCTTTACTGTATGTTATGTGCCCCCTT